CTCGGGGCCTCCTCAGCGGTGGCGGGGGGGAGGGGTCCTGCGTAGATGCGCATGCGGCTTTCGGGGCTGTAGTGGTGCGCATGCGCCGGGGGGGGGGGCGTTAGCCCTGTAAATAGTAGTGAAAAAACAATAAAGCAAGAAATAGATATTTCAAACTCCTTTTTTTTTTTTCTCCTAGATGTTATGTTCAAAAGCAGAGGAGGCATCTGACACTATAAACTGTCAAACTCTGCCACTGTATATTGTGAACACTAATCACACAGTTCAAAAATAGGGGGGAAAAGTAATAAAAAGATAAATATCCTGTGTTCTCTTAAATACTTGCGGTCTGCATCAGCTCTGCATCAGAGGGCTGTTGAATTGCAGATCAGCCGAGGGCAGGAAGTACTGCTGTTTATTTGCCCTGTTCTTAACGTCTTTCATAGCTGACTCATTTTCACAGCATGAGTCAAATGGATCATTTTTTTACATCTGTTTCTGTATATCAGAGTATCATGAAGGAAAAAACTGTTTGTATTTACGGCTGTTTCTATGATTGATCTAATATCAATATACAATGTTAAAAATATGAAAAGTGGAACTAGTCGATGGTTATTGGAAAAACAACTGATTACTAGCAAATCAGTCTGAAAGTGTCATCAGTATGGCTGTATCATTGTCGATATGAAGAATTTATAGATCTGTTTTTCATATAGATTATACGAGCTGTTTCCAGTAGCAGCTTAAGGCAAAGCTGCTGTGTGCTGCGAGAGCTGTCTATGCTAGACAGAGTGTCTGCCACTGATGCCTCGCATCAGCACTGTGTATCTGAGCAGCTTGTAAACAACTGCAAGTGCTTATTGGTACAGAAGAACACATCCATGGTTGTCAAGGGTACAAAGAGTAGTTGTTAAGTATTTAAAATATTGTTTAGTGATTTGTGAGGAAATCAGAAGTAATCAACTCGTTTGTCTGGAGAAGGGGAGAAAGGAATGGATGGATGCCTTGACCAGACTATAATTACTTTTTTTCCACATTTAATCAGTATCTCTATGCACAGTTCTTTGTATATAAACAGCCTGCATATTTTTCCCCATAAGTTTGGGAGAAGCATTTCTGATCTTCTGATTCTAAATGTTTAAGAAGTTTATTTTAAGGATTCTTTGCAATAGAGAAACTTCATGTTTTGCGGTGTATGTTTTTAAGAGCTTTTTTTTCCACTAGCAGGTAAATATAATAGATTTGCATTAAAATTTGCAAAATAAATCACTTAGGGCCTTATTTAAAACAAGACGCTCCAGAGCATTTGTCTTTTTTTTTTTTCAGTGTTATGTCACTAACAGACAAACAAACCTCTCCCTACCTCCTTATTGCTGTCCTTTAAAAAAGTCCTACAGAGCCATCAAAAGCTGCATGTAGTAGAGCAGTGAAACTGTTCTATTTCAGTGGGCTTTGGACTACAAATTCTCATTCATCTTGAAATAAAATCTGGAAAAGAAGCAGCAATGCTTTGTCATTTCTACTAGGTCAGCCCTTTAGATGAAACCTACTGCCTTCCCTTCTGCTTGTGCTCTAACTTTCCACTTTGTGAGTTTTGGTGATCCATAACACTGTAAATCATTTTCATTTTAAGGATGAAATCCTGAAAGCAGCTGTAATGAAATATGGCAAAAACCAGTGGTCTCGTATTGCTTCTTTATTGCATAGGAAATCAGCAAAACAGTGCAAAGCCAGATGGTAAGTGAGAATTTCTGTGACTGGTCATATGCTATTTGGAATTACTGTGAATTTAGGGGTCGCTACAGATTAATTTGTGTACATGGAAGAACAATGATTTTAGGGTTGTTTGAGTTCCATCTTTGTATATTGCAGTTTCCTATTTTATGAAAGGATCATGAAGGAAAATAAATGATCACTTTGCAAGTGATGGCAGTGTCATCGAATACAGGGTCACTGAATTTTTATATAAATACATATAATATACTTATGTGTATATATATACACACATGCACACACATACATGCACATATACCTATTGCTTTATATATTTGCAAATATTTTAAATCTTTTTTTTCAGAGAAATAAAATTCTCAAATCATTTACAGACATTCTTTGGGTTATTTTATAGTAAGAGTTTGGCTTGAGGATTGATTTTTAGAATTTCCACTACAAAGTTTTAATTAATAGCAAAATGGAAGCATAAAACTGATGCAGATAAGGCAGCATGAATCCATTTAAGAATAAGATGAAATTTATTAAGTATGGAATTACTCATATTTCTTGGATTGTTTCAGCCTATAAGTAACTACTGATACAGTTAAAGATAAAACAACTCTTTGAAGGATCCAGACCAAGCAAGGCTGCTCCTTCTGGTAACTTCAGTTGTTTTGAGTCTTATCTTTTTTTCTTTTTTGAGTTAATTTTAAGATTTTTGTCTTGTCAGAAGAGAGGAAAAGAATGGAAAAAGAAGCAGTATCTGTAGGAAGAACAGTGGATTATTAATACATTCTAAAATCCAAATGTATGTCATAGTAATACCATTTTGTACAAAAGTAGTCTTAAATATATATTTCTGGCCGGATTATGAAATCTTCCTGCAGTGGTACTTAGGAATACTGTTTCAAGTTAATTCAAGGTAGATTAGTGGATAACTTGTATCCCTCTTAACTACTTCACTTTTTAATAGGTACGAATGGCTAGACCCAAGCATCAAAAAGACAGAATGGTC